AATTAATAGATATGTGCTTGATACGTTTGGTTATCATAAACACTCCTGTAAACTACCTGGTACAGTCAACCTTCTCTCTCCCTCTCTAAATAGAGATATCCGTTAGTATTTAAATGATGTGACATTAAGTTGTATATTTGCATACAGTGGTTATTACTCCCCCATCAATGTGCAAACAGAATGTAATCTCATACAAAATTGCTTTAGAATGTAAAATAGGCACTATATATGTGCATGCAAGAAGGATAATTTTAAAATGACTTAATTAAAAGAGCATTACCAAAACGGTGTTATGTATATGTACCGGTAATAAGTTTTATTTGGTGAAAAACCATTTAGAGGCGAGGAGAATGCCCTGATTGGGCCCAAGATACGGGTGTAGTGTTGTGTAGGTCGGAACATGTATGTTTAAGGAATCATGAAGTGTTTACCTGTGACCAGGTGATCTAGAAGTGTAAATACACAGTGAATTGAGTGTGCGTACCTGTTCTACCGGCAGTGTATCGGGTATCTGTTGTGTAAATACAGTGATTACAGCAAAGCGTCAGTGGAGGTGGTATCTATTGTCAATAACCGCTTAAGTTGTCTACTAACAGTTACCGTCATTATTGATAGTTTCCTTTTAATATATAAACTGGTGTTGGGGCTTCTAGCAGGGACCCATATAGGTAATCTGGTTCTACAACAGTTACAGACAGCTTATTATTCTGTCCTGTTTAGAAGTAGAAGCTAAGAGCTCTTGCCGCGTTTCAATACCAATTGGCCTTCAATGCTTTACCAGTTCTGTAGAATTGTGTTGGTCACACAGTGGGTAAACTTCTTTTGTACAGCTAAAGCGAAAGGGCAGCAAACTATTTCACAGGGGCTGGACACAAGATGTGGGGCTTAAGCAAGTCTAGGAATCATATTAGAATTCCTAATACTATTATAACAGGCTTGCTTGATCTGTGCTCACCCAACACCCACTTACCAATTGGCTAGGCAGTACATTGCTCAATTGGACTTAAAGTTGTGAGCAGGCTATTCCGTGTATGCCTAATCTGCAAGTATGAAAGTTATCGGCTGATGTGCAGCTTTTAAACAAAGCGGCTCAGTATACATATTTTAGCCATTTCATCTACTTATTCCTCCTGCACTCACTTATTTGATAATTACATGCATTATTCCTTCAAACCGAAAGAGGCAACCAAGTGTGGACCCCCTGCTGTGAATGTAAAATCCACTGCAGAATTGAGGGGCAACTAATGAGGGCATTCCGTAGGAATTTGAGATTTTTCACATTTACCGAGCCAGATTCCAACATGCACATGTTCCACGTTTTTAATATCTCGTCCCTTCTTTCTGGTGCTTATCTCTTGTTGACTCACTTTATGTGATAGTGCATCTTGCGCAAGAATAGGTCCTGTACATCAGCTTTCCTTGTCCGCGATGTTCTCAGCTTAATGGCTGCCTTCGGCTGTCTTAAGCCGAGGGGACTATTGTTTTTTTTTATATAATAGCTATATTTTCAATTATAGTATATCAGTTCTATCTTCTTCTAATATGATGTATATGTACATGTAACTGTTCTGTTTCACTGTGTCTTGATAAAGGAGCGGATTGCTCCGAACATTTGACAACCTAAACTTGTCCATACTGTTGGAATTACTTCTTTGCCCCATATTATACAACACAAATACACTTTTGGGATTTATATCCTTGCCTTTTCAATCGCTGGTTAATGTGAAATTGAGAGTACTTGTTTAGCAAGAAGTAATCTTAAATAGGACTTAAAGGCAACTTTCACATATTTCATCTCTGATTTTACAACCTTTACAACCTGTACAAGACATGTATAGCTCTCAATTAGAATATCAGCTGGTCATACTGACATACACCAAGTTCCTGCCAGACAGTCAACGTTTAAGTCAACATTAGAGCAAACCCTATGACCTGTTTTAAGCCCCATACATCTTGCGTTCTCCTCTGTACCATAATGGCTCCTAATCGGACTTGTTCTACATGGAGGCCAGCTAGTTATGTTTGGTAGGGTAGCATAAACCTTCTTTGGATATATAAAGGAATCAACAGTGGAATGAATACTTAAATTGGTATAAGGAGCGAGATGAACTAGGTGATTAGCTGTCTATACATGTCTTATTCAATGTGTACTAGTGTGTGTATTGTGTACACCCTCAATTTTACTGAACAAGATATCTATTTCTCACTCCACAAAAATGTGTTGTGATGTATGTATAGCTCTAATAAATTCCTTAACACAGAAATAGGAAATGTAAAGTTGAGCTTCACAGCCTGATCTATTTAATGTCGGTCCGTACCGTTTACCTGTAACCAAGCCGGACAACAGTACTCCAGTGGTTCACGACACACTGCCAATACTCTCTACGGATCGATAGCTCAATGTTTGATTGAGAATCTATTAGATTAATACTGCCCTCCATGTGTGGATACACAAGCATGGTCGGTATATGACAGGCTCAGAGGGACTAGAGGTCATAGCCTACCTTGTAAATGATACGGCTCAAAGCTATCAAAATCCACTTAACATTCTAAATGTTTAGTAATTGAGATATTGAAATTTATTCCATGATATTGGTAAATACTTACCTGCTAAATAAAAGTATGCTTCAATTCAATTGAATATATCAATCATATCAAATTCCAATGTATCACTTTCTACAGCTGACTGTCTCTCCAGATTTTCCTGGTGAACTCCCCCTGCTGTCTATAGTGAAAAAAGGGTCTGTCATGCGAGGACATTATGAAAAAATTGAGATAAATTATCCTAATCTTCATAAATTGTCAGGTCTAATGAATAATATATGAAATAGATAGAGAAGTATCTATGGTTGAAGCTCAGGTAGTAAGTTATACTTAATAATTACCTGGTGTTAAAATATGTGGTGTACAGGACTTTTCACCAACGATAATCACACAAATAGTCTTTACTTGATTAATGTATCAACTTCATCCTTACATCAAAAATTAGCAAGACAAAAATAAAGTTAGGACATTAATCATTTATAACCCTATTACTAGAGTTGTAACCTATTTTTGTTAGCTGAATTTGATTGTAATCAAATGAAAATTTAACTCAGGTTTGAATTTGAAAAGCTTGTACAGTCCTTGAAGTTGCTTCTTGCAAGGAGTAAATATAAATACAGTTTATCTATCTATTGACTTGGTTGTCGCAGGTCAGTTGGTTTTGTATTTACTGCTACAAGGATTACCTAAACACTTGTAAATCTGTCACAGACTATCCTCAGATAACTAAATCATTACATAATATCAACTTTCCGGGTATTCAGACTTGTACACGTAATGGTCTGTACATGTAATGGGCTGTGTTAAACCTCATTTACATAAATACAGATTGATCTATACCATATTTGCCCTCTTAAATGCCTCGACCCTACTTCAAACACTTTGTAAAACAACATTAGTTCCAATTATGGTTATTGAATTCTTACTACTGTCATACATTCCTAATAACTCTTTTGAAAAACCTAAAAAGTCCTTCCATGATGGTTTCTACATTTTATCTTAAACTTCTACAAGTTTCTACAAGCTTATCTTGGTAAACTCTATAGAACACATGGTTAATGATGACAAAACAACACATGATCCTAATATGCCAAGTCAGTACAACACAGTAAGGGGAGATAATCCTCTGCTAATCAACACTACACAACACAGGGGAGATTATCATGTTGTAAGAATCTGCAGATTAGTTCTAATTCTAGATGACAACTTGTTCTCAAAATAGAATTTTATCTTAAATAGATCAAGCTTGCATTTTCCATTTACACATTGATATACAAAACTACAGAAAACTAATTGTTAACTGTAAAAATGGTGAATAATGTTGATGATGATATGTCAAACAGAAAAAATGTACATGTAAAAGCAAGCTAACTTTTAGAGGTAATGTCATCTATATGAACCAGTAAAAGATAAACTTTTGTATAAAGCAAACAAAAGTGGGAATTGTTATCATATTAAACCATTTGATACTCAGTATTTATAATTGTCAACAAATATAGATATACATTATACAAATTAGAAGGGTAACATTCCCATTTTGCATTATGCCATTAGTATACATACATTATGGAATTACACACAATCTCCTGATATCTATCATATATATTTAACTTGTGTTAGTCCAATGTTAACCAATGGTATATTATTATACACACGAGTGTCTGATTTCATTTACTAACTTCAGTTAGCCAGAAATCAACTCAATTTTCAGTTAATAAACTCCATTAGATTGAAATATGTCGAGAAATTTTATACCGTTAATCTGTCCTGTATAATTACCTGAGTAGCACACTAGGTGACACAGGTAAGAATGTAAGTTGAGAACTGTGTTTGTAGTACAGAATTATCCTGTAGTACTCTTTGATATGTTCATTGTGCCTTACACTCTCATACTTCATAGGATTAAATTCTAAATCTGTAATCTTAAATACTCCTTTGTTATGTCCTATTGAGGATCTCATTGTTATTATTTCTATTGTGACAAGTGCCCCAAATACAACAAAGCAATGAGACCTGAGCTTCCTTGTTAGGAAAGATTAACACTGAACCTGGGTAGAATGTTGTGTTTTAAAGAGTGATTGAAAACCAAAGATAAGTATCTTTACACTCTTCCACAGTTATCAGTATATTCTTATCCAGTCTAATGGTGTTCATTTGGTACTTACATCTCAAAGTAAGTACAGTAATTGGAAAACAAAATCCAATTATAAAGCCACAATATAAGTTTCTACTAGCAACCTAACTGTTAGGATGTCCTCTGCATAAGATAATTACATGGATGACCCTACCAAGCAGAACACAATAAGATTTGACAGGACAAGTTAAGTTTTGTACCATTTGCATAATATATCTAACTTTTAACAAAGCCTCTTCCACCATTTCCTTGTACCAAATCATGTCAAACGTCTATTTATTGCCCATTTCTATGAAACAAAGCATTTTTTTTTATTTCCCAGGAAGTCCAGCACAGACATCCCGCCTCCGTGCTCGCAGCACCAACCCAAGCACCTCCCAAACAACTCCCAGACGCAACCGGAGACAACAAATACACCAAAAACATGGTCCCTGGCTATACAGGTAAAATCATATCCTTGCTCCTAAAATGTAGGACTTAACTTAACTTGATGGGTGTTACAATGACATCTTTAAAAACAAAAAAATCCTGGACTGATTCTAGGAATAGATATGTATACCGATTTAAATCAAAACCATGTTTTCTGTATCAACTTTTGTACCCTTAAAACCTTAAGGACTCCTGTACCGCTGCCAAAAACTGTAACTACCCATTGAAACTGTATTTTCCAGCATGAATATAGCTTTGATAAATCATTTCTGAAAAGAAAGCCGTACTATGTGAGAATTTAATGAAAAATTAATATAGATGAATAAACAAATTATCATCAACAAGTTAATTGAGTGAAAACAATTAGCAGAGCTACACCTGAGGGTCCACACCCTGGACCTCAGATTGTTAAAGTGTCGCTCTAACCCACTAAGCTACGTGGTCAAGAAGAGTGCTATGGCTCAACTATATCCAAAATGAAATTAAGTGGAGGTAACTCTGTGTAAGAAAAAGCTCGGGAGTTCTCTTAATGTTTTGCCTGCAGTGGGACAGAGATCCTTAAGTGTTACTAAACGAAACCTAACATGTCACATGATGTGTCTAATGGCAGAATATGTAAAGGGCATTTCGATCAATAACTTGTAACTTTATTTTAATTCCATTGATCATTAAAAAGCTTTTACTAATTATTTGCTTTAATAACATTACAGGTTATATACCACGGATCCCTTTTAAGTTTGGTAATACATACAAAGAAGACTGTGATCACTGCATAGATGAATATTTGACAAATAGGAAAGTTTATGACCACAAACAGTCAGACCTTCGACAGCAAATAAATGGCCATCCAAGGCTTACTGCAATATCACACGACCCTGAAGTCAAGGAAAGGCTCAACATGTACAGGGATACACATCCAACAAAATCCATCTTAGTTGGTAGGTCAACAACCAAACTTCACCGAAATTTATTGTCCATTCATCATCAACCAAAATCAACTGCACCAATTCACTGTTGTTTGGTCATCAAACAGAATCCATCTGAGTTTAATGGCAGTTGGTTGGCAATTCACTACTCAGAATTGTAATATTTTAGTAATGTCAAATTTTGCCCGTTTAATATGGATTTACCAAGCATTAAATTCATCCACATACAAGGTATACTTACTGGTGTAACATGTACAGCTATTGGACATAAAGTTTTGGGCCCTGTTATTAAAGGACTATGTATGGTTTGGGCCTTTTTTGGCCCCCAAAATCATCAAAATTAAAAATCTGCAATAGAACTTTCAAACGACTGTTTCTTTAATTTTGAATACTTCCCCAGTACTATTATGTAAACATTTATTGGTGTTTTTGACAAGTTTTTCTCTTAGCTACCATAGAGGGCACTCTTGAACAAACTTTTTATTTCTCCTAAAGATGTATTACAGGTGCCTACACATTATCCTTTGATATTAAGTTTGTTCAAGCATGCGCTCTATAGTTTCTAGGAGAAAAACTATGCAAAATATCACAATATTCACTGAATATTCATTTTTTTCTAATTTATGCAAATTTGAACTTGTTACCATAGCAACAATAATTAGAAAAATTTAAATAAATAATTTCATTAATAGTATTTGGGAAGTATTCAAAATTAAAGAAACAGTCATTTCAAAGTTCATTTAAAGGTTTTGAATTTTGATACATTTGGGGGCCAAAACACGCCCAAACCATACATTGCTCTCAGTTACTGTATGTAAATCACACATCAACCGAAATCTACCTCAGTTAACAGCGGTAACTCCAGCTCCAACTAAAATCTACATTGATTTACTGTCTGTAAGTCTAATATTATGAATATAAAACTTCATTAAAAATTAATGTCAAACAATGTAACTCAACATTTTCTACATCTACTCATTAGCTTCAACTTTGGATTACTACCAGTGTCATGTTTTTTTGACAAATTTCCTGATCACAATTCTGAATGCTGATCTACAGATCCAGTACAATCTAATAATAGCATCCCTAGAATGTCATGTGCATCATTTAAGAAACTAAAATTTATGTCAAACTTTGACATGGATTTTAAATCAATTTGTTCCTACATTTTACTTTCTGTTACAAACAAAAAAATTAGTCCTTGTAATATTATATTGACCTTTTCAAGAAAGAGCAAAAAAAAGTAGCGAAAACATTATTGCATTGTACTTCCTGTGTTTTTATGACAGCCAGCTGATTTTGTTGCCCACCTCACATTTCAGAGGATAAGAGAGGACTAACAGAGCCCCCCATTCCTGGTTACCGTGGTTACATCCCTAGAATAAAAGCAACAGAGATGGGTCTGGGCAGTCGTTATAACCAGACGACTAAGAAGGGCCTAGAACTGTTTGTACAGGAGACAGCAGCCAATGCAGCACGCAGCACAGGCAAACTTCCTCAGTCACTATCAATGTAAGATTTTATAATTCACTGCCTCGGTCACACTCAACGTAAGATTTTATAATTCACTGCCTCGGTCACACTCAACGTAAGATTTTATAATTCACTGCCTCAGTCACTCTCAATGTAAGATTTTATAATTCACTGCCTTACTCTCAATATAAGATTTTATAATTCACTGCCTCAGTAACACTCAACATAACATTTATTAATTCACTGCCTCACTCACTGTCAATGTAAGATTTTATAATTCACAACCTCAGTCACTCTCAATATAAGATTTTATAATTCACTGCCTCAGTAACACTCAACATAACATTTATTAACTTACTGCCTCAATCACTCTCAATGTAAGATTTTATAATTCACAACCTCAGTCACTCTCAATATAAGATTTCATAATTCACTGCCTCAGTCACTCTCAATGAAAGATTTTATAATTCACTGCCTCAGTCGAACTCAACGTAAGATTTTATAATTCACTGCCTCGGTCACACTCAACGTAAGATTTTATAATTCACTGCCTCAGTCACTCTCAATGTAAGATTTTATAATTCACTGCCTCAATCACTCTCAATGTAAGATTTTAGAATTCACCGACTCAATCATTCTTTAATACGTACGAGTTTTAGAATTCAGTCTCTATCTACTGGGTATATACAAATTATGAATTGTTTTAGTAATAGAAGTTGAACAATGAATCTGTGATCTTACACTAATGCGTCAATAATGATTAACAAAAATAAATACAGGGTACTGCTCAAATGCAGAAAATTAGTTCCTTTTGAAATATCTGGATTTTCAAATTCAGAGTTTGGCCGTAATTATTCTATGATATTTCATTATAATGTATTGCTATTGATCATGGCCCTATAAATTTATATAGAATGTAATACAGCATGCCACTGATTCCTTAACTCTATATTGGCGAATTTAGGGTTTCTCACCAGACACTGAAGAGTGCACCTCCAAGCTTCAACCGACGTCTGTATGTCAACGATGGCATGATCCCCAAATACACAGGATATATACCTCGTAAGTATCCAGGGTAACGTCATGCTAGACCAATGAGATTCTGTCACTAATACTAACTTAAACTGTCTGATTAATAAGTATGGCTCATAATATAGCTGATGGATTAGATTATTCAGAAATAACTGTCTAGTGCGACAAATACTAATTACTCTCTTACCTCCACTACTGGTAGATTTAAATACAATCAAATTACCCTCACCACGACCAGATAAAACAAAATACTACCAGATATACACTTTGCCACTACCAGATATAAAAACTACCAAGTACTGTCTTGTCGCCGAGATTAGAGTCAAACATTGATTTGTCTGAATGACAGGGAGAGATATATTGGAGATAAATGCAGGCCTATTTCAGTTATATCATGTGTTTGAAATGGATGTTGGGTGTGTTTGAAATAAGTATTGTTGTATATGACAGCTGGTATATTTGAGATAATATATGATATTATACTTTAAAAATAAATCTGTCTGATTTTTTTTTCTGCTTTTCAGACCGAAGATTTGTGTTTGGAAATACATACGGAGACACAACAAGATCTTTAAATGTGTGTAGTCATCCGAGTCAGTCATATGGGGACTTTGTCCGCTCAAAAACCACGCTTTAGTTCCCATAACGCCACGCCTGTCATCAGCTTAATGTAAGAAAAAGAAAAACACAAAAAATTATGTCTTAATTGACCTCTGACCTCTAACTGTGATATACCATACTCAGTATGATTTTTTTCTGAAGATGCCCGGTTTATACAGAGAACCTACCAAGAGTCAACATTGAAACTGTGCTGGACCAAGGAGCGAACCGTCTTGTTCAGAATATTGCTGACCCCAGCAAAAGCTGTGTTGTCCTGGAAATTAATGAGTGTTTGGTCTTTTTTCAGATTCCAACATTAGTGGACTTATGGTATTATATTTCGCTGTTGAAATATATATTTGGTAGGATTCATCATGAAAAACACATTTTTATTATTTCAGGACATATTTTGAAAATTCTGACCATTATAAGCATTGAAAAGAAGTAATTTGATATTTCAGTTATTTTCATGAATGACTAAGTGACAGTATACCATATTTGGCCTGGAAGTGACCCTGTTTTTAGTATATGGCCTATGACTGTGTTTTATGTAGTCTGTTTTACATGTAGCTGTTATGTCCACTGCCTATATTTATATGTTAATGTAGTAAGTCTGGGGTCGAGATGATAAAATAATGTTTGTGAGAGTCAGGATTTTGTACATGTAGTACGTACCATCCTGTGAATGTTACTGCTATGAAGGTCATCTCAGGTCAAGGTCATCGATGATCTTGTGGATAAAAATACCGGAAGGCATGAGAAAATTATATAAAAAGATACTGAAACATTGACTTTCAGTAGACTTTTTATTTAAAATGTGTTTATTGAGTACAGTTTTATAACTGTAGCTACATGTGGTGTAGGATACTGGACAGACTTTCAGTTCTTCTAAGGCAGAGGTGTAGGATATGCCTGACAGACTTTCAGTCCAACGCTTACTTTTCTAATCCATATATTTAATGTAGAATCATGTATATTTACTAATGTTGTTGTATATAGATATAGAATTTATGGTATTTTTAATAAATGTTGTTTAATATACAAAATATCATTTCAGTATTATTTCATGTATTGTTACTATACATATGTACTGTATAATATTCCTTGCTGTCCCTGCAACAGCCTACACAAATCTACTCTTCGCAGTGTTTTTTCTCAAGTCTATAGTAATTTGGCACTAAATATCAATTATTTGCTGACACTTGATAGTTGATTAATTGCTCAAAAAGATTTAGAAAATCCAACTTTATATATATTGACTTCTGCAATTTTTTATCTGAAAAAAATTAATTCATTTTTACCCTTAGGATATTGATACGGGAAAGTCAACTGTCAATAATTCAATACATATTGCACTTTACAGCATTAACTAGAAACACATATATAACAGTGTAGTTGTATTACCCAGGTACATAGTGTGAAGGAATATCATTGCCTTTCATTTGGATCATTTATCATTTACCTGTGCTGTCATACAAAATGTGTCAATTTCTATATCTATGTCTTTATAGCAATTTACATTAAGAACTTTTTAACATAGATTTCATAATACAATAATCAGGTGAAAATATATCATGGTGGATTGCCAACCTGCTTTTGTTTTGCTTTGCTTTTTTTGTTTCTGATATTTTTTATAATTATAGACATACATGTTTATTGTAGTTTTAACTGGCTCAATTAGGTTCCAATTTATTTTTTCGTTTTTTTCTTCTTATTATTTTAATGTGCCGTGCCAACCTAGCTACTGCTTCAAGAGAGAAAAATAAGAGATTTTCTTATATTTTAGCCCACAGAGAGCACAAGGGCATCTAGGTGTATCAAGTAGTAGATTTCTATTTAAATGGAGTTGAATCTAAACTAGTACAAACTTGTAGAAAGTTTTCATTACGTATAATTCCTCCCCAGCAACTTGGCCCTTAAGACAGGCTAGTGCCTACCATAAGCATTCCAATATATATAATCCTATATATTTCTATTCAACAAACATGTCTTTCAAATAGTATTATTTATCAATGATATAATGCATACACATGGTAATTGTTAGGCTGTAACATATCTAATTGGGATGGGTGTATCAGAACACATGAAGTATCATTGGTACAAACTAATCAAAACAACGGGGAGTAAAGGGCAGTAACTCTTACACATCACTCACTGGTAGATTGGGAAACTGTGAAGGTATATATTTTACCATGTCATGCCTTATATTCTATTAGAAAGTGCATATTTCATCAAGATTATACAATGATATTCCTTTGAAATTAAAACATTATGTTAAAATCCACAGATGCTTTTGTCTTGTTTTATATCTGATGTATATGTATTAAAGAACATAAATATCTGATGAGATAATTATAAATACAACATGTGTCATATTAGGTGTGAATATCAGCTTAAATAAAAATCTGGCAGATGACTGCTGTAAACATATTACTCTCCAGAGCCACATTTATTATTCTACCACAACACCTTCCAGGAGTTACTACATTAACAGTTTTGAATATCAGGAGTTATAGGATTAATTGAAATAATTTGAAAAAGGAATTAAATCTCAGATATATATACCAGACAACACGCACATAAAATTAAATTGAATTTTATTTTGTAATGCAGCATGTTGATTGATGCTAAAAATACATCAGTCAATTTTGTGATGAAATGTCCATCATACATTTAATAATAATTATTTAATGATTTCATGATAAACAGAACCTGTACATTTTTAACATAACACCATCCACAACTCAATATCATTCACTTGCTGTTGTATATGACTTTAATACAACAGCTGCCATATAAACAAATGTCCTTGTACTTGGTGTGAGATGTAGACGATGTCCTGTGATATGCACATGATGACAATCCTGTGATAAAAGGGCACTTTATGTGAACATGATAATCAAATGATACACCATCCTCAATACTCCGGGGGTTACGCTCATTTACATTCTCTGCACTTTTGGAATATGTCAAGTAAGCGCTTAATTGAAGGAATCAAGATAGCTGTCTGATTGGTGTTGGGTAAAAAAAACTGACAAATCGCAAGTTAAGGCCGATACCTGTGTTTTAAAGTTTACCTAGGAGCGACACCAGACTTCACAGCCAGTTTGTTTTACCATTATGTTGCCGCACAGTTCTTTTGATGTACATCAAAGCAACAAACTAGTAAAAATGGTATCATCGACCTAACGTACAGAGAGTGAATGTGAGCATAACCTCTGGAGCATCGTGAATGATGATACACTGTCCAAAGTGAAAGAGAATCCTGATTTGGACATCAATGATTGACATCTACTACTTTATTCTTTACGACATACAGGCTCTGTATGTGTTGATATACACAGTAACACAACCATCTCATTGTTTGACACTCAGGCCCTGTATGTATGAATGACATGGTGAAAGTGTTTTATTGTATGACAGACTGGCCTCATCCTGCTGTTGAAATTGTCACTTATGAACATTTCTTATCACCACTTCGATGACATACAGACCCAGTATGTGTAAATGTCCTGTTGTACACACTGTTCCGTTGTGTGGCACAGGCAATGCATGTGTGACTGTCTTGTTGTACAAACCATTTCTGGCAGTAGTTATGATCTAGAGTCCTCCCTGGCTGTCTGTTGCCCACAATTTGAATGTTCTGTCATATGACACTGAGGCTATGTACTTGCGGTCGGGTGAGATGTCGACTGCCATTACCTTACCCTCATGACCTGCCAGGGTCTTCAGTGGTGCCCAGGTTGGATGGGCCCAGATCTGGAAACAAAAAGGTATGGAAACTATAATCCTAGGACAAGCTCATCTCAAAGAACCTTTACACCAAACACTTCTGCTGGATAACCTACACTATCAATTATATCCTATGGCACTGAATCCCTGCACTTCTGTATTGCCTACAGTATTGACAACCTAAATATTAACACTGAAGCCCATTCCCAACCCAACCTCGCCAACAATAACTAGATCTGTATGGCAAAGGCTAACTAATACCCCCCGCTCCTATATAAACCAGAACTGTAAGATAAAGGCTAAGTAAGGTGAAGCATTGCAAAACAATCCATAGTCTCCCACCAGTCATGATGTCTTTATTCACCGAGCTGTACACTTATTTGAGTCCAACCTCGCCAACAGTAACAACAGTATATTTCCACAGAATCCTAACCATCTTGCAGTATTCAGGACAACAATGTTTCAATGAAATCCCCACAATGCTGCAGTACTGATGAGGCTTACCTTTGATGTACAGTCATATGAAGATGTCACCAGGTAGCTGGACTGATCCGCTATAACAAAATAACACAATATCATTCACACATATTGTACAGAAAATATGCAACAATTAACATTTTTCTGACACGGTTGACATGGCTTGGTGGTATAGATACACTCACATTAGTCAGTGACCTAGGTTAGAACTTGACTTTTATATTGACAAGGTCAGTGTGAACAGTGTGAACAGGGTATAGATACACTTGTCCGGGGTAGTGACTTACGTTGGAATTTGACCTTGGAGACAACGTTAGTGTGAGTGGGGATGGTATAGATACACTTGTACTGGGTAGTGACTTACGTTGGAATTTGACCTTGGAGACAAGGTTAGTGTGAGCGGGGATGGTATAGATACACTTGTGCTGCCGTAGATCCCAGATCTTAGCTGTGTTGTCCTCACTGCCAGTTGCAATGTGATATCTGTAAAAATCAATAATTATCTTTACTGACCATGACAATCATTGTTGATTGAGGTAAATTATCTATTATTTGCAATTTCTCTATTGAAATGTCTATTTAGACGATGGCCAAACCATGCTAAATGCAAGAATAAACTGAAGTATTTAAAGATGACAAAGGGTCATTTCTTTGTAATTAGAGATCTGATTTCAGTATGCACTCATATACAAAATTTGGCATTTTTTGGATACAACGTATGTGAGACATGACCAGGACTATGTTAACTCATTCACATTTCATAATGAACTATTTCAATCTTTGAATTGGAAGAGTTCAAATGTGTCTTCAGGGGTAAATGAGTTAAGCACACTGAACAAAGAACCATAACTCTGTTTATAGTAAGCAGCTCTCTGCTTTCTCAAAAGGAACTGGCATACAAAAACTTGCAGACAGAATATATGAGATATTACCCTTACAAATGGACTGTAAACCTATAGTCTCCTCCAGAAGTGCTGGTTAGGGGATTAACCATAACTCTGTTTATAGTAAGCAGCTCTCTGCTTTCTCAAAAGGAACTGGCATACAAAATCTGGCAGACAGAATATATGAGATATTACCCTTACAAATGGACTGTAAACCTATAGTCTCCTCCAGAAGTGCTGGTGAGGGACTAATTATCACTCTCTACATTCATCAAGCTTTCAATTTATTTAGGTACTGTGACATAATGCAGTTTCTGAAAATTCCCTTTCAAACTGGAGCAATTTAAAATATTGAACTTTAGGGTAAGAGATCAGAGATGGCAGTAGGCAACCTTGACATACTTTCTGTGACCTTACAAGTCTGGAGAGGTAATAGCAGGTCCTACTCTCACATACCTCAGTTATGGAGACACGGTAGCCTAGTTGTAGGACGCCGGGCTCGTGACCGAAGGGTTTGCGGGTTTGAGTCACGGCACGGCACTGTGTTGTATCTTTGAGTGAGATACTTTACTTCGCTTGTTCCAGTCTACTTAGCTGTAAATGAGTATGTGGTTGGGCAGTGCTAGAATTGTTGAATGCTAGCTGTGAGTGCCGAAATGGCAGCACCGGCTGTATGCTCCCCACGGAGTTGAGAAAGATATTGGTTGGTTGCAAAGGCCTTATAACCACGGATAATAATTAGTGAACCACTTTGAGACGACCTACGAACTAGGTTGTGATAAAGCGGTATATAAGAACCTCAAATTGTTATTATTACCTACCCGTCTGGAGAGAAGTCCACTCCTAGCACACTTTTTAGATGACCTTCCATGAACATGATACAGCGTCCAGTGCGTAGATCCCAGACTCGTCCAAATCCATCCATACCCCTGTAACACAGGTTTTATAGGGTGACATATGAACATCGAACATACACTTAGGAGTACTAATATCTGACTGTTCGTTCTGTATCAGACTATTTGTATTGTAACATCAAACTAGTGAGCGCGCCCCAGGGTTATACAGCATCACTGGGAGAGCTAGCTTGCCAGTATGGCAGTATTTCCCCTCTTATTCCTTGTCTGCTACAATATCAATGCTAAATACTTACAGCAGTTCCTTTATCAATATTTTCCTGTAACAATACAGTATGTTTAAATAAACATATCAAACAAGATCAATTTCAACATTTTAATAAAACTCATAGATATAGTGTAGCTTATAGGTATGTGACTATTTGCCTACAGATCTACAACTATTATGTTACCATAAGTTACCATAAGTTACCATAAGAAAATATTATCAGTTAAGCCACTTCACTACAGTATTTACAAATATTTCAATATTCTTTAATATACAAGACATGAGTTGGAAGCCTACCCTGTGACAGCCAGAGCCCCATCATTCTGGAAGGCTATGTCGTACACCGGTTTACTGTGTCCCTCCTGGTGCAGAATCTCCTCCTGAGCCTCTAAGTCCCATAGTCTCCAGGAATTGTCAAAACTGTCAACAGAACACTATAATACTGATTTCAACAACCATGAGACTGCACTCATGCTACTAATCATGGAAACTCCAGTCATATAGAATTACTCTTTTGTATTCTAACATTCCGTACCTAAAGTATAGGTATAACACATATTGTAAAGATGTTTTAGCTGACTTTATACTGAAAAGGCATACTGGTTCATCAATATACAGATATAGAGCATATTTGTAGATGAAAAAAATCTGCTCTGTACCTCCTACATGCTTCAACAGGCCACCAAAGGCCTTGTGAAAGTGTGTTGGCTTAGCAAATCAGAGAACATGATACTGTCTTTGATGGTGAATTGGTCTAAAACACTGAAACACTTCACCATTAGAATAGGAGCAGCTAAAGATGTGTCTGCCCCCTTTTGACCATGCACACCAAAACTTTGATTGAAACCTATACAAATTTGGGGGAGTTATAATCCATTACCAGCAGGTTCCAAGAAAGCGTCCTGAGGGATGATAGGCCAGGCGGGATACTCTATAGGGGGCATGTCCCTCTATGTCTGCCATAGGCTCCTCACTGTAACAAACATCAGGTGTTAGATACACACTCCGTCAATACTATGCACTGAAGATAGTGTCTAGATATCTGGGTAAGGGGTTTATCTCAGTGTGACAGGGTTAAAGTCTTAGTCTATATAATATTTTATAGATTCCTTTCCTCCTTCTGCTTTGGTAGAGTAACTAAACTGTAAGCCATAATAAGGCTGATTTAAGTACTGTAAACCAGAAATTTGTCACCCTTTTTACTCTCCGAGATGAGGATCAATTTATCATGACAGTGAATATCAGTACACAGCCTACTTACCATATACAGTAATTACATGTGAAAGGCGAAATGACAGCGAATATCAGTACACAGCCTACTTACCATATACAGTAATCACATGTGAAAGGCGAAATAAACACTGGACAAATATGAATTGTTACCAATGAAGGCAAAAGTTTGATGGGGCAAAAGTTTCTTGTAACACGGCGTGGTTCTCCCACTCACCCATAATTTTGTTACATTATTTTATTCTGAAGGTGATTGAAATATATTTTGACATTACCTGACAAGATTCCAGAGCTTGACCGATCCGTCTTGACCACATGAAGCCATACAGCAGGCTTTGTCATCTAGTGAGACAGTGGCCTGAGGATGGAAGACTATTGCTCCTACGTTTCCATTGTGTCCTGTAAAAAGTTAAACCACTTAATGAGAGGTTCATTCTGAGACAACTGATCGAATATATCTATCTCTGTAGCCTCATGATAACAGTATATTTACTATGTAGACCCAAAAGTCACAATTTTCTCTACTAAAAAAACATGTCAACCAAGATGTTTCTAAACAACAATAATCAATCAGACCATTCACTTTCTAGACAATCACTCTAACTAATACCCCTCTCTCCTAACTAATACCCCTCTCTCCTGACTTATACCCCTCACTCCTGACTAATACCCGTTGGTCTAGACTCCCCTCGCTCACGACTAATACCCTTACTCCCAACCAATACTCCTCACTCCAAACAAATACTCCTCACTCCAAACTAATACTTATCACTCCCAACTAATACTCCTCACTCCCAACTAATACTTATCACTCCAAACTAATACTCCTAAACTAATACCCTTACTCCAAACTAATACCCTTCACTCCAAACTAATACTCCTCACACCAAACTAATACTCCTCACTCCAAACTAATACTCCTCACTCCCCACTAATACCCCTCACTCCCAACTAATACTCCTCACACCAAACTAATACTCCTCACTCCAAACTAATACTCCTCACTCCAAACTAATACTCCTCACTCCCAACTAATACTTATCACTCCAAACTAATACTCCTCACTCCAAACTAATACTCCTAAACTAATACCCTTACTCCAAACTAATACTCCTCACTCACGAATAATACCCCTCACTCCAAACTAATACTCCTCACTCCAAACTAATACTCCTAAACTAATACTCCTCACTCCAAACTAATACCCTTCACTCCAAACTAATACTCCTCACTCCAAACTAATACTCCTCACTCTCAACTAATACCCTTACTCCAAACTAATACCCTTCACTCCAAACTAATACTCCTCACTTTGACCTCGACTTTTTACCTCTGTGTGTCTATTTGTTTAATTTCGAACAACTTTGCTTCATAATGTCATAGCAAAATGTTCACCAGTGAAAAGCTACAAAATTTGACCTTGACCCCTCACCCGATGACCTTGACCTTTGGTCAGTTGACTCCTTGTTTAATTCTGATCAACTTTGCTTCATAATGTCATAACAAAATGTTCATCAGTGAAAAGATGTAAAATTTGACCTTGACCTTTGAACCTAATGACCTTGACCTGTGACCTTGACTTTTTAACTCAATATGTATTTTTGTGAACTGAACATCTTGACCAAGTTTTATGTACATCGGTCAATAAATACAAAAGTTATCAGCCAGTAACAAAATTTTTGGACGGACAGACAGACAGACTGATTACTATAGGGCACCTGTATCTCCGGTAGTCAATGACTCACCTCTGAGTTGTCTAATCAGCCCACAGTCAGGAATTGACCACAGCTTACACAGACCAGACCTGTTCATACAAGTTTAAATAAATAATAATTTCATTTAGGCTGCTTCTGCATATCCTGGATGAAACAATCTATGAGGCACAGAAATGTTCTGTGATAAATCAATTCACTTGGATCAGAAGTGGACCAATCTAATAAACAGCATTCAAAATGTATAGTTTTGGAGTTAAGTGACAGATAAACAACATTAAATCAAGAACTGTGGTCCCCGGGATCCTATCCATGTATTCAGTTTTTAAGTATAACCTAAAATACATGTGTGAATCAACCTTGTTTTATGTAGAAATACTGACAAATCAGTGATAGGTAGCCTTAGTCGCTACCTGGCACATCTGGTCAGATAATGCTGACAGGATTTATAAATAAATAATTAACAATTGTACAAATACATTATCACCAACTCTGCCACACCTACCATGAGGACACTGCCAGTATTTTACCATTAGGACTGAAGTGGCAGTATGAGAGGGGTCGGTTGTCTCCAATCTGACTGCATTCATTGGATACAGCCTGCAAGACAACAGACATCAGGTAAACAATAGCAAATAACCCATAAAGTCAGTTATCCTTCAATCTGTCTTCCTATTTTAGTTATTATGTACAAATATCAATACTTGGTCGTAGATTTAAGTTTAACATTGTTTTTGTGCATTTCTTACAAAATTAGAGAATTAGCACATTTACCTGTTAAATACTGGTAAATTAAAATCTTCAGCATACATAACTTATTACTACAAGGGACAGGGGTTTTATCAAACTAAATTGTGTTCCTTTCTTATATGACATGCAAATAGACATCAATACTTACCCCAATACGTTTCTGTATGTCCTGTGTCTTAGCATTCTTTTGTGTGGTAGGAATGAATTTTGTCTGCTTCTGAGCTCCCAATCTGGTCTTGGCCCTGCCATTAAAATCATCATGTAAACACACCACATGTAAAACATCTGCAGAGAATTGACATAGGTCTGAAAAATACACCGCTTTATTTCTGCATAACTGACGATAACAGAGACAAATATACTCAGTAGTAATATGTACTTGTTTGCTGGTACAGTACACTGTTATACAATTACAATCAAACCAAGTACAGTTCGGCGAGTGCATAGGTGTTAGGTGTGTTCAGAAAGTACCCAAGGGGATGGTTTTCTGTATTTATAATCACTACTAATTGTGCAACACAAATGTATATGAGTTACAGAAGAAACAAGCACCTGTAAGGAGTCTTGTATTAAGGGTGATTGCTAATAATACTTGGTATTAACGCAGATCACCAGTAATTTGTAACCTGTCAGCAAATTAGAACTTTACGGTCTCCTTATTCAGGGCTTTCAATAAACCCTTGAGTCTCTTTTTGACTTCCCAAAATTGGCTTTAACTCTTGGATTTGAAAGGAAATGTCTATTTGACATGTGTCTTGACTCTCCAAGTTTAAGGGGAAAAGGTTTTGACTTCTGAAATTGATAAATGCTATGAGTCAACTGAAATCCATGCTTCTCCATATAGAACTGACCCCATTGCATATTGGCACGACTAAGTATCCCAAGTATCTATCTGTTTAGTCATTGGTTCAGTATCTGGTTTATAACTGGATCTTGGTGACTTAGCTCTGCAGAACATGTTTTTATTTATAATCTGCTATATGTTTCATCTTGTAACCTGTTATTGAGCACTAGAGGGTTGACATTGGTGAAGCACTGTGCTAACCCAGTCGTGGCCTTACCTTGATATGAGTTACTGGTGTAACCAGTTGGGACCTTACCTTGGTATAGAATACTGAGCTAGCCAGTAGCGGGCCTCTTTTAAACTCTTAGATCCTTCATGGTACCAGGTTATATTTTCCTGTGCAATAAGAGATTGATAAAGTCTTTCTTAAACATCAACATCACAAGCCAGTATAAACACATTTTCTTGACAAAATTTACTAAAATAAAACGTCCATCTGCTAAGTTTCATACTTATTTCACAATGGATCAGAAACACGTTTTGAAGTGTTGTAAAGGTGTCCAGGTTTGGTGAATATGAATGATTCAATTAATTTAGAATTGAAATATTCTAATATAGGTTACAAGTTGCAGTAATCATTCATTGAAGAACACATCAGGCCTTGGAAATGATGGCTGAGTTACCCAGGTGTTGGAGTTGCATAAAGAAAAGAGTGGCCAAAAGGTTACGTAGGACAACAATGACAGAGCTGTTTGATTTAGGAAGGGTACCTGACTTATATTAGATACCATACTAACAACTGTATCACTAGCACCTGTTATAGTGATATATTTCTGCAGGTAACACACGATAAAGACATACCTCTGCTTTTTTCTTCTTGAGTTGTATCTCTTCTTCCTTCTTTTGTTTCAGAGAATCCTCACCTATCTGTGCCAGTAACTTTTTAAGTCTCTCTCTTCTGTCAGCAGGGCCCTCACCAAATAAGCCTGCAGGCACAAGTCAAAAAAGGGAGAATTACATTATCATGTCAAAATAGATCAATTTACACAAGTTCTTCACTGAATAACAAGGTTATCATGTGATTAATACCAATAAATATATATATATACATGTTCTGTATCAAATAAGTACTGTACATTGACAGAGGACAGGTGATGACATAGAATTTTCTGTAATTTCTTGAATACTTAAAAGTTGCACTTTGAAATATACGAGTATGAGTTCTACTTACATATGGGCTCGTCCAGCTGTCGTAGACTGGCCTTCACTTCAGAATCATCTGTAGACACATGGATGTGACGTGCCTGCAAAGATCAAATACAGTTATATAAACAATTCTAAAATGATGTGCAATTCCTTTTGTATTTCTGACCTGGTGTTTTTTTTAACAAAATATTTCCCTGGATATCTTAACAGGGATATCATGAAAAATCACACAAGAATGAAAAATTTCGAAAATAAAAATCACATTTCTTAGTAATAGATCTTGACAAGGAACAAAATAATAGATATGTGTTGATCTGGAGATGAAAGAACACAGAAAGAATTCTTCACAGAAGAAAAAAACAAAGCATACAGCACCTTTTTCCTCCTCTCTAGCTCTGCCAACAGATCTGATTGGTCTACATGATCACTAATCTCATATCTGGACCCTGTAACAAGAACATAAAACTGTAATACATGTAGTAATCTAGGCTTAAGCAATACAGAAAACCTGTCTATATCCCAGTACCACATGACACAGTCTTGGAACTTCACACTCATTCTCAATAATATAGCAACCACCTATCAAAATTGACAATTTGTTTATTATGGGGTAACATTTGGCGATCACCAGATTTATCTACCATCATCTTAACAATGTTACAGCTGACAATCATCAGATCTATCTCAGACCTATATATGTCTCTGACAGTGTGCCCGTGTGATAGAGTTAATATACGAACTCGATTTCAGACCTATATATGTCTGAGATAGAGTTCCGTGTGATAGAGTTAATATGGGAACTCTATCTCAGACATACATATGTCTCTGACAAAGTGTCTGTGTGATAGAGCCAATATACGAACTCTATCTCAGACCGTTATTTGTCTCTGACAGTGTGTCCGTGTGATAGAGTCAATATAAAAACTCTATCTCAGACCTACGCATGTCTCTGACAAAGTGTCTGTGTGATAGAGCCAATATACGAACTCTATCTCAGACCGATATTTGTCTCTGACAGTGTGTCGGTGTGAAAGTTAGGAACTCTATCTCAGACATACATATGTCTCTGACAAAGTGTCCGTGTGATAGAGTTAATATAGTAACTCCATCTCAGACCTATATGTCTCTGACAGGGTGTCCGTGTGATAGAGTCAATATAAAAACTCTATCTCAGACCTATATGTGTCTCTGACAGTGTGTCCGTGCGATAGAGTTAATATAGGAACTCAATCTCAGACCTATATATGTCTCTGACAGAGTGTCCATGTGATAGAGCCAATAAAAGAACTCTATCTCAGACCTATGTATTTCTCTGACAGTGTGTCCGTGTGCTCGCGTTAATATACGAACTCTACTTCAGACCTATATATGTCTCTGACAGTGTGTCCATGTGATAGAGTCAATAAAAGAACTCTATCTCAGACCTATATATTTCTCTGACAGTGTGTCCGTGTGATAGAGTTAATATAGGAACTCTATCTCAAACCTATATATGTCTCTGACAGTGTGTCCGTGTGTGTTCACTGTTGTATTCAAATTATATGTGAGTACCAATAACACGTACCGGTATATGATGATAACAGATGTGTCCACATGTACGAATGTCAATAAATGATGATGATGATGATGATGATGATAAAGATATGTGTGACTTAGTGTGAGTGTCTATGTCCCTTTTTTGCTATAAGTTGTAAAAATTCAGTAAATGAAGAAATGAAACGTACACATATGCACTGTTATAATTGATTTTAAGGTCTAAAGTTTTGAAAAACTGATTTGTTTCAACATGGATTGTGTGAACATTTGATCAAATAGAGATAAAAAGGAATGAAAATGTCATTTTCAATAATAATGATATTACTATTTCACATGTCAGTTACTAATAATAGTTTCTTTCTTACCAAATAACTTAACATATGTGATATGAAATCAATAATTCATAATGCTGCATAAGTTATTGTTTGGTTCATCAATGTAAGCAACTAATAAACAAAAACAGATTCAGTTAAACTAATATCGCCCTCGTTAATAAAATCTTTTCAAAGTTGCCAAACACATGTACATGTAGATATAGCCAGTGTCCAAGTTTTAAATTAACCTGGGAAATTTGAAATGTCAGCAGGATAGCATACACCAGCCTGCTACAATGATGGGGACCAAAATCCCTCTGTGATCTTGTAACTTTAGTTGAGACTGCAGTTACAGGCTGCCTTCCATTAATTTCCCTGCTCAACTGAGAAATACAGCAATAGCACTCAGGGATCAAAAAGTAGCAAATTTAGTGTGGATTGTTTAGTGATAACTTGTTTACTTAGGTGATAAGGTCCTAAAACCTGGTCAAAAATGGAGTGTTTAGTTTTGAAACACGTGTTTGTTATTACTGTACCTTACGACAAAGTGTTCATATACAACCTCTATCATATTTTTAAAACTTTCTTTCCTTCCTTGATTATTTTATACAAACACTGTTGCAAATTTACAGCAATTAACATTTTATTTTACTAATGGTTAATGTATATTAAATACTTAAATTAAGCAAAGAAGATTTTTATTTTTTATTTTACTTGTAAAAACTTGTATCAATATATTAGTATTTGTTAAACAGGGGAAGTAACTCTTACCTAAAAAACATTGATTTTCTTGGAGGGAAATGGTACAGAAATGGTATAGTTTTAAGGTAATAGGATTGTCGCCATTTGTCAGTAGAATTTCTTCAAATTTTGTAATTATATTGCTTTGAAGCAAAAGAAAAATTCTGCAACAAAAAAAAATAGGTTGTCATAATTTTAAGGAATTTAAATGGAAATTTATGAAAAAAGGAGGGATTTTTGACAAAAAAATGAAAGACACAATTTTTGCAAAATAATGTCAATAAAAATGATACTGCCATAGATTATTATTGCATTAATGTATATCAATTTAATAAATGCTGAAACTATGTCAAATAAATTATCTATAAACGATTAAAAATTGACATTTTATGATAAAACCATATGCACATTGTAATAGCAGGTAAGAGTTATCTTTCTTGAAAAACTTCACAGTAGTGAAATAGGTAGCTGGTTTCCTGAAGCACAGAAAAATGGACCCATGTGGCTCATTGATAAAAAAAAACGGAATTAATGCCTGCATTGCTTTGAAATACTTTAATATTGAGAGAAAACACTGTTCTGTCAATAACAAACATACAATATTCATCAGTTTAATATTAAACATTAGAATATGCGGAAACTGTGATACTGTCTCCCTGCATTGGATTTTCAACTAGGGATGTACTTCCTACTTCCATTTATCAAAACACTCCTATGACCTTAAGTGGCAATATGTTTAGTTAACTGCCAATTATCCCAAGGCAATGAGGTGGTGGAGGGGCTTTAGTATTCTATTCAAAGGTTGAGGTCACTACCGGTATTATTATTTACAGATATTTTTGGCACCACTCGAGCATCTTTATAAAATAGAGTCACGATACTTGAGTATGTTATGTAGACCAGCAGTGCAAATCTTTTCCTTCATTACAGTAATGAGGCCAAGCGCTAGTTTGGGGTCAAATGTCAACATGGGTTAAAAGCTTTAACAATCTTCTTTTCAAGTTCCATAAGGCCCAGGGTCATGATATATATTTGGCCAGTAGGTACCAGGGATAGAGGGCTATAAAGTTTCCTCATTAAAATGGCATTGACCTACTTTCTACGTCACAGGGGTCAAATATGTTAAAAATTTCAAACAACAATATCCTAAGAACCATTTGGAGACTAGTCATGATACTTGAGTATTTTATGTAGACCAGCAGTGCAAATCTTTTTTTTATTTCAGTAATGATGTCAAAGGTCAACTTTAAGTGCTAGTCAGGGGTAAAACTTCAACATGGGTTAAAAGCTCTAACAATATTCTTTTCATGTTCCATAAGACCCAGGGTCATAATATATATTTGGCCATAAGGTACCAGGGATAGAGAGCTATAAAGTTTCCTCATTAAAATAACTTTGATCTAGTTTCAAGGTCAAAGGGGTCAAATATGTTAAAAACTTCAAAAAACGATATCCTTAGAAGCATTTGGCCTAGTCATGATACTTCGGTATGTAATGAAGACCAGCTGTGAATCGTTTTCTTTATTGCAGTAATTAGGTCAAATGTCAACTTTGAAGTGCTAGCCGGAGTCAAAGGTCAACATGGATTAAAAGCTTTAAAATTCAAATTTCAAACAACAATATCTTAAGAAGCGTTTAAGAGATGTTAAAATGTCTGGTGTTTTAGTTACCAAATTTGGTCAGAAGCTACCTACATTGTATATGTCAGTTACATGTAACAAAAGGAACAGGTGAGCGATACAGGCCCAATGGGCCTCTTGTTAGTAATAGTGACCTTGACCATGACCTTAGAATATTTTTACATCTACATATCACCGTGTATCACCATATCAAATTCTAAAAAAGCTGTCTTTTGAATGCTAGATAAGGAACATATAAATCCATTGGCAATATTTAGTGTAACAGAAAAGAAAGCAGTGTTTCCACCGGGGATTGAGCCACAACCACCAGGTTCCTAGTCAGACACTCTACCACTGAGCTAAAGGGAAATTCCTTCTAACATCAAGTTCTAACGCCGAGTTATAGGGAAATTCCCTTTAACTTGAAGGCGACCATAATCCTATGCACAATTAAAATCTGCCATATTAGTAACAGTTACCTGAACTAAAAAACTTTTAAAACCCCTATAGCACATCTGCATGTCATGATGTATCATCATGTGAAATTTCAGAAAGATCAGTCCTTTGGATTTCAAAATAATCTCTGGAAACCAAAGCTTGGACAGAACATACAATTCAGTGATTCCTATTGGGCACCCCCCACATCTCTGATGCAGTATCAGCTCTTACAACTCAACATAACAATTGATGATCAAATCATCTCCATATCAGCATTTTTTATAAGGAAACAACCTATGTCATTATGTACAGTACTAGTGTACATGCAAGATAAACGGTATAAACCTACCATCACTTATAAGATAAACGGTATAAACCTACCATCACTTATAAGATAAACGGTATAAACCTACCATCACTTATAAGATAAACGGTATAAACCTACCATCACTTATAAGATAAACGGTATAAACCTACCATCACTTATAAGATAAACGGTATAAACCTACCATCACTTATAAGATAAACGGTATAAACCTACCATCACTTATAAGATAAACGGTATAAACCTACCATCACTTATAAGATAAACGGTATAAACCTACCATCACTTATAAGATAAACGGTATAAACCTACCATCACTTATAAGATAAACGGTATAAACCTACCATCACTTATAAGATAAACGGTATAAACCTACCATCACTTATAAGATAAACGGTATAAACCTATAGCTACCATCACTTAAAAGATAAACGGTATAAACCTACTTTCACTTATAAGATAAACGGTATAAACCTACCATCACTTATAAGATAAACGGTATAAACCTACCATCACTTATAAGAATGTTTCCTGCTGCTTTTCCTGCTTCAATCGCGTCGGTGGCCAGAGATCCTGAAGTCTTGACATTAGCCAATCGCTGCCGTTCTTTGTCTTCCAAACTTCCATAGAGCACTGGTTTGTTTGGTCGAAAGTGGAGAACAGCTTCCTCCTCATCGTCAGACATAATTAACTTTTCTTGGCCTTTGAATGAGTTACTTGTTTGCACTTACACCTCTTGGTTGATAATTATATTTCATGTCTTTAAATCTTAGTAGACCTTTAACAGACAAAATAATGACATAGTTTATATTTATATAATGTGAATGTAAATCAGTTTTTTCTCCTAAGTGAGTTTGAAATTTTGTTTCTATAATGATTTTTTTTCAACAGAACAGACATCTAATCAAACAACTTCATTTGAATTTCTTATAATTAATTGAATCGAAAATACATAAGTATATATATATTCTTCTTCTTTAGGGTGCTCCATCAATGTTGACGATTATGTCCTCGGTGGTCCTATCACAGACGAGAGGCGTGAAAAAGGGTTTATTTTCAGTGATTGGATGGGGTTTTTTTCGTGCAGGGTATTTTTAAAAGGTAAAAGCTGGCATACACTTTAGCGAGTGATGAGAGATGCAAGGGCTGCATGGGGTATGTGTGCCTTGAAGTTCTAGTACTGTACTAGTGTTGTCAGTGTACTGCTGCTATGGGAAGGAGATTCCATTGTGTTATTGTGTGTGGAAAGAATGAATGTTTTTAGGTGTCCTTTGTAGCAGATAAGTGTTTGTATGCGTATAAAACAAAACAAATCTAATTCATGTAGGAACTCTATCTAAATCAGAGATTTATAACAATAGAAACTCTATCGTTATAAATATCTGATTTAGATAGAGTTGGGCCTGGGTTGGTGGGGTCGTCGTGTAAGATTTGGTTTGTCATATGTATTACATATATATTGTATTTATCAGGTGTGCATGTTTCACACTCTAACCTTGTTTATTCCCTTTAACAACAACGATAGGAGAAAGAGATTCTTCATTTTTAACATTGAAGAAACGTTCCAGTCCTCCTCTCCCCCGAGTCCAGTCGGTACGGATCGACTAGCTGCGTTAACGTACAGCTTTCTGACGACGAGATATTTTTTATATAAATTGCGTCGGGCAGGGGCAGAGGAGGCCGGGTATTAATATTACTACTAGGAGCTATATACTGGACTTGAGTTGAGGGGAACGTTTCTTCTGAAGTCACATTATAATAATAGTCGTCATTCCCTTACCAATAAAACACACAATCAATATGAAAGGAACTACATATGGAACCATATTCACAAAATGATTAAAGAATAATAAATCTACCTTAAAAACGTGTAGGTAATTGCTCCGTTCAGACATTTGCTTCATACGTGTGTTGCACGCTTCATGGAAGGCGCCATTTTAGCAATATATAAATTATAAACCATCAGGTACCCTATATTTTCCGGATGATATTATTTTGTTTGTCATACTTTTGCCCTATATGGATAAAAATAACCTTATGAGTTTCATAATTGAAATATTACTTGTTTTCTTAATTAATTAGGTCATTATTTTGCACAATGAAGAGAAAAATATAATAAAGACATTATTTTTTATTTTCCTTCCGGATTTGATGACCATATTGGTTTTACCTTTCTTAATGTGTATTGGATCCGGTTATTTTCTTTCAAAATGATGAGAAGGAACCCAACTAGAATTGAGTTGAAACTCGACGATTTTCAGGAATACACTGAAATGAAGAGGGAAAAGGAAGAACAAAATAAACAGAAGCAGCTGCTAGAACAAATCCAACCACCCTCAGGAAACATGGACAGTCGAAGTAGGACGGAAATGGTCCACGAAAGGATAGGCTATGATCCAAAACCTCTACCACAGCCCTCACGTTTGCCTATACATTGACGTGTTAGTTATATACAATAAAAAATCAAAGAGAAGAGCGTACAACCCAGTATGTTGGATTATCTACCGCAACAATCACGTTTATCTTTCTAACGACTTGTATATTCCTAGTCAAGGACAATAAGAAATAATGAAGGAGAGCTTACATTATGCAAAAAATAATAATAATGGGTTTACTGACTTGTTGGCGGTGCACCATATGTGGATGTGGTTTATACGAGCTCACTATTATACGGTGCTGCATGCCAAGAATAGAAGAAAAAAAGACATGTCATAGTGAAAAAACGGCGACAAGAGAAAAATGAAAGCTTCACCTACACATTCATTTTTTCACATCTGTATGTATATGTGGAATGTGACAGTACTAGAGTTTGTGTTCTTCCTCTGTTCATCATTTAACAATAATCACGTAGCCTGTACAACAGTTCTACGTTTTACACTGAATTCTACATTTAATGCAGACTAATTTTTTCCTGGTTTTTTTCTTTCTGGAAATTATTCTACATCAAGACCACATCTGTGAACATTCTTCAAAGTTGATGGACACAATACAAGTGCACATCTGTATTATAAGGAAACTGGAACAGATATATTGATTATTTAACATTCTTTGTTTCAATTTTTTCCATAAACAATGATCGCACAACTGTGAGGCATATTTTGTTTACTTGTATTATGTTAATACATATTAATAAATTATTACTTTTTCTTGATTGTTTTGATTTTTGTCTTGATCGATAAACATTATATCCGCCTAGGGAATCTTGCAGATCATACTACAACACAGGTTGAGATACATTGGCACGTTTTACAAATGCCGCCTGTACTTCGTAATGTAACTAAAATAAGTTAGATTGTATTTAAACTCCAAACTCTTAAGCTATTGAACATGCATGTTATACATAATTATAATAAATTATTTTCATTACCCTAGATACCTTTTGGTTATTCAGAAGTAGTTATTTGAACAAAAAATAAATTTGACACCGGATTGCAAACAAATGCACGAATAGTCTGATAATAACGAGGTTGAAATATATTGAAGCCTTTAAATTTACTTTTGAATAAACGAAAGTCCTTGGGACATTAAACTTTCCATTAGCTTACTGAAATGAAGGGCTATCTTATTTGTTCAAACAAATAATTACTGTAAACCACTTTTACGGTAATGGGTGACATATGTGTCAAACACTTTATCTTCTGACCAGCGAAGAGGCCTAGTATATATATCACAGTTTGTGGATCGAAGCATGCTGGGGTGAAGAGCTACAAGTTATTTTGAACAATTTTCCATAACAGGTAATAGGGGCGGACACTGTTTGACAATATAATTGCATTGGAGATAAGTGATGATGCCCATTCTCACAGGACTAAGTGTTTCTGACAAAGACAGTTAACAACAAAGCCACAAGCATTTGAACTCTTGTTAATATTTACGTGTTGAAATAAATTACCTTAACCTTCATTCAAGGCTAGGAGTCAAGTATCCTAAAATTTTCAGTTGACTTCTAAGGAATCATAAGCCTAGGCTCATATATTTGACCGGTAGATTATTAGGATAAAGGACTGAAAAATGACGCCGACTCACTTTCAAGATTACAGATATCAAACTAGTTCAAATAATAAGATGCACATAAATACAATGGTCATGATAGTTTACATATATATCATGCCAGGGCGGAGAGCTATTGAATATGTTCAAATCTTTAAACAACATTAAAAAAATTGGAACAGGGTCTTGATATTTTACCTGTAGCATGCATAGATAAAGAGCTATAATGTTTGATCAAATAAATAACCTTTATCCATATTCAAGTTCACAGGGGTTTGTTGAAACTTGCTAACAAGTTCTTCTAATGAACCTCATGATATCCTACAGTAATGTTTTTTGGCCTGTACTTCATTTGATACGTAAAGGAACTATCATGTTTAATCATATAAATTATATTGCATTCTTAGTCACAGACGTTAGTTGTTTAACAGTCTTCAAACTACTACTAATTAACCATGATGTCTACACCACAGATATTTTGTCTGCTGCTAACAGGAGTAAAGAGTTATTCTATTCTATTTATTAAAGCAAAGGACCTTGTCCCCTTATCAAGGTTTGGTTTGGTTTTTGTGTTATTTGTGTTTTGTGTCAAATTAACATCTATGATCAGTTAAGGATGTGCCAGGTTTTGGTGGTAGATGAAAGCCAGACTTCACGGAGAAAAAACAATGACTTAAGGCCCAGTACCTGGTGAGTGCCCCACAAAGAATGTCAGATGCCTTAACCACTTGACCACCGCGGCCCCATCCCCCAGTATCAAGGTCATACATAAGGTTCAAAAGTATCAAAATCTGTAAAGGTCACCTATTTACCCACAGAGTAATGATATATGGCCGGTAACACTCTGAGAGAAAAGGCTGGCTAGTTTGTACATATAAATAGCGTTGACCCATATTCATGGTCAATGTGGTCACTTGTTAAATCTTCAAACTAGTTCTAATTAAGAGACATACTTGGCCCTAGTCTGAAGGACTATTACATTTGATCAAATACTTTACCTTGACATACATTAGTCAAAGTGGTTTGATGGATTACAAACTATAAAGGATTTATTGAAACAGTTAAACCACACACTGTAGCTTAGGGTAATGATATTTGGGCTCTTACTTTCCAAAATAATAAACTGTTAAATTTATTCATATAAATGACATCTTCATTCAAATGCATGAAAGTATCAAGAATATATTATTTCATCAACAACTAAAGGGTCTGTATTTTGCTGGTATGAAGGACTAGATGTTTTTTTCAAATAACAATTAGAAGCTTTAACCCACTTGCAGGTTACACATGTCAAATCTCTTAGAACATTCAAACAATTAAAAAGCAAAGGTAATGACTATTGTCTTGTAGCTTGCTGATTAAAGTGTTGTGCTTGTCTAAATATATGACATTGGCATATTAAAGTTGACAAGATGCAAGTCAAGTTGTGTTTTGTCTGCTATCATTCCAAAGGAGTTAGAGAGGGTTAATTAAGTCAGTTAACATTCCCCGGGAGTTAGTTTTCTCTGTTTAGTCAGTTAGCATTCCCCGGGAGTTAGCTTTCTCTGTTTAGTCAGTTTACGTTCCCCGGAGTTAGCTTTCTATGTTTAGTCAGTTAACATTCCCCGGGAGTTAGCTTTCTCTGTTTAGTCAGTTTACGTTCCCCGGGAGTTAGCTTTCTATGTTTAGTCAGTTAACATTCCCCGGGAATAAGCTTTCTCTGTTTAGTCAGTTAACATTTCCAGGGAGTTAGCTTTCTCTGTTAAGTCAGTTAACATTCCCCGAGAGTTAGCTTTTTCTGTTTAGTCGGTTAACATTCCCCGGGAGTTAGCTTTCTCTGTTTAGTCAGTTAACATTCCCAGGGAGTTAGCTTTCTCTGTTAAGTCAGTTAACATTCCCCGGGAGTTAGCTTTTTCTGTTTAGTCGGTTAACATTCCCCGGGAGTTAGCTTTCTCTGTTTAGTCAGTTAACATTCCCCGGGAGTTAGCTTTCTCTGTTTAGTCAGTTAACATTCCCCGGGAGTTAGCTTTCTCTGTTTAGTCAGTTAACATTCCCCGGGAGTTAGCTTTCTCTGTTTAGTCAGTTAACATTCCCCGGGAGTTAGCTTTCTCTGTTTAGTCAGTTAACATTCCCCGGGAGTTAGCTTTCTCTGTTTAGTCAGTTAACATTCCCCGGGAGTTAGCTTTCTCTGTTTAGTCAGTTAACATTCCCCGGGAGTTAGCTTTCTCTGTTTAGTCAGTTAACATTCCCCGGGAGTTAGCTTTCTCTGTTTAGTCAGTTAACATTCCCCGGGAGTTAGCTTTCTCTGTTTAGTCAGTTAACATTCCCCGGGAGTTAGCTTTCTCTGTTTAGTCAGTTAACATTCCCCGGGAGTTAGCTTTCTCTGTTTAGTCAGTTAACATTCCCCGGGAGTTAGCTTTCTCTGTTTAGTCAGTTAACATTCCCCGGGAGTTAGCTTTCTCTGTTTAGTCAGTTAACATTCCCCGGGAGTTAGCTTTCTCTGTTTAGTCAGTTAACATTCCCCGGGAGTTAGCTTTCTCTGTTTAGTCAGTTAACATTCCCCGGGAGTTAGCTTTCTCTGTTTAGTCAGTTAACATTCCCCGGGAGTTAGCTTTCTCTGTTTAGTCAGTTAACATTCCCCGGGAGTTAGCTTTCTCTGTTTAGTCAGTTAACATTCCCCGGGAGTTAGCTTTCTCTGTTTAGTCAGTTAACATTCCCCGGGAGTTAGCTTTCTCTGTTTAGTCAGTTAACATTCCCCGGGAGTTAGCTTTCTCTGTTTAGTCAGTTAACATTCCCCGGGAGTTAGCTTTCTCTGTTTAGTCAGTTAACATTCCCCGGGAGTTAGCTTTCTCTGTTTAGTCAGTTAACATTCCCCGGGAGTTAGCTTTCTCTGTTTAGTCAGTTAACATTCCCCGGGAGTTAGCTTTCTCTGTTTAGTCAGTTAACATTCCCCGGGAGTTAGCTTTCTCTGTTT